TATATATATATTCCCTAAAACAAGATATCGAGAAATAACGACGTTTAAAAAATATAAGGTATGCCAATATAAGTATTAGCACTTTAATATCTTCGAGATAATTAAAGAAGAGAAAATAAGAGAAAAATTTGTAAATATTTTATTATTCTATTATATATTTAAGATACAGGTAAATCTTTATAATTTTTTACCAAAGTATTATTTCTTTTGAATTCTGTTACAAAAAAATAAGTATTTTATTTCAAAAATTTAAAATGATTAAAATCTCGCTGAAAAATAAAATATGATGATATAATATGATAAAATAAACAGAAAAATAACAATGAGATTACAAAATAGGTCCTCCGCAGAACCACATAATTTTTGTAAACATTATTTTGCACATATATTTTAAATGTTATTTGTATAGTCATGTTAAGTAAATAATTCATTCTATCATATATTTATATTTATAAATAATTTTTAAAAAATAGATCTGTGAAGGATAAAAAGAAAATTATTATAAGATGTCTACTTGTGCAGGGTCCGAGAGGATTTATTGGACCAAGAGGTTTCCCTGGTCTACCGGGTAATCCCGGTATTCCTGGAAACGAAGGACCGCCCGGTTCTAAAGGCAATGCTGGACCGCCCGGTCCCCCTGGTGCACACGGTCAACCAGGACCTGTAGGTGCTGTGGGACCATCTGGACTTCAAGGTCTACCAGGACCGACTGGTTTAGTCGTAAGTTAGTGTTTTTACGTTTTTCAACAGTTATTAAAATATATGTGTAAGAAACACAATATTTTATTTTAAAAAATAATAAAAGTGAATTTGATACTTTAAACATAATTTTATTATACATATTATTATATAATCAAATTTTATCAAAAGGGCCCACAAGGAAAGCCTGGAATTCCTGGTCTTCCGGGTGCTGACGGATCTCCTGGTCTCCCGGGCAATCCTGGAATTCCTGGGATGAAAGGCGAACAAGGTCTGCCGGGACCGCAAGGATCAATAGGCTTTCCGGGTGTGCGGGGTGTGAAGGGCGATGAAGGATGGCGTGGTCCGCCGGGTGAACACGGCGAGAAAGGTGAGAGGGGATTAGAAGGTGATAAAGGCGATACTGGTGCGAAAGGAGAGCCTGGAGCAACAGGACCGCAAGGAATTCCGGGCCTTGAAGGATTGGAAGGGCCAAAAGGATTTGAGGGGCCTCGAGGTGAAACTGGTCTTGCTGGTCCGCCTGGAGAGAAGGGGAAATTAGGTATACCCGGATATGCTGGGTATCCTGGAAATGTTGGAGAAAAGGGTGATAAAGGACAAATTGGAGCGCAAAGTCCTAGCGGCGATAAAGGAGAAAGAGTAATTTCTTAAAAATTCTTGTGAATATGAAGTTTGTATATAGTGGTTTGATTTTCATAATATATTATTTGCTCTTATCTTTTTTTTTCTCTCAGGGAAGCAATGGAATGCAGGGAGAACGTGGTGAAACAGGGCCAAGGGTAAATTATTGTTACGGCAAAATGTTTTATTAGATATTTTTGTGCAAGCAATGCAAATACAATAAAAAATATTTTGCTATTAATCAATGTAAAATATTTCACATATAATATTGATAGTTTATTCCAAATTCGCTATATTAAATAACTTTAGTTATTTTGTATAATATTACACAGGGTTTCAGAGGAACACGTGGTAGAAGAGGTGCGGAAGGATTACCAGGACCAAAGGGCGATACTGGTCAGCCAGGATCTCCTGGTGTGCCAGGCGAGATTGGCCCTTCCGGTGTTGAAGGTCCACGCGGCTTCGTAGGACCACCTGGTCCACCAGGCCTCGACGGAAAAGATGGTGTACCAGGACCACCTGGCGAACGTGGTCCAATTGGAGAATCCGGGCTTGCAGGACCTTCAGGAACTCCTGGTATTATTGGCCCTCAAGGACCAACTGGAGAACCTGGTCAACCGGGCGAACCTGGAGCACTTGGTAGTCCGGGGTTTCCGGGAGAAGTTGGTACACCAGGTGAACAAGGAAAAGAAGGACCACCGGGTCCGCCCGGATTGACAGGGATTAAAGGTCCGCCAGGTCCTAGCGGATTACCAGGATTTCCGGGCGAAAGAGGATTGAACGGTCTGCCTGTTAGTATTAAAAATGATGTTACGAGATGCAAGCTTACCAAAAGTTCTTAATATATTGAATTATAATATATGATATAATATTAAACTGTTGTCAAAAATTATAAATTTTCAAGGGAATGCCTGGTTCGAAAGGAGAAATGGGATCTATCGGAGCACTTGGTCTGCCCGGTGATAAAGGTGCTCAGGGTGATTCTGGTAAAGACGGCGTACCGGGTCCAGAAGGAAAACAAGGGCCTAAAGGAAAGAGGGGACTTATCGGACTTAAAGGCGAAAAGGTAAAATATTTTAAATGATTATAATTTATATACAACCGAGAGTTTAAAATAGATCTCTATAATTTTAATGTATGTCACATATCTTAATATATACGTGTATCTTAATATGTATTTTATACATATGTATATTTTAATTCTTTAATATGTGTTTTCTATATATATTGCATGATGCATTGCATGATGCCTATTGCATGATACATAAAATTATAGATAAAATTCTATCTCGAATTTTGTAGATTTTCTAAAAAAAGATAAGCTTTATTATAGAGAAAATAATATAATTTATATTCTTTTTTATTAAAGATTTTTTAAAATATTTTCAGAATTTTTTAAGATACAAAATATATACATTTACAAAACTAAAATAATATAATATTAATGATAATACTATTATACTACTATATGTATATAGCCGACAATATACAGTTATAAATATTTCTTATCTACGATCTGTATCTACGATACAGGGTGATCCTGGGTTACCTGGGCCTATAGGTCGCGACGGTTTACCAGGTCCACGAGGGTTACCTGGTTCATCGGGACCAGTTGGACTTCCGGGTGAGGATGGTGATAAGGGAAACGTAGGTCCACCCGGTGAAAAAGGTTTCAAAGGATCTCAGGGCGAAATGGTAGGTATAATTAACAGATTAAAAAAAAAATAAACTTTTACATTAGTATTTAAAAATTTTTTAAAATTTTGATTTTCACATATGTATATTAAGATTATAACTGTAACAAATAAGTAAGTAACCTTCAAAAGGTTTTAATTGGCAGATTAAAGATTATAATCTTAACAATACATGTGTGTCAAGATCATTGAGAAAGGATGCACTAATGTAAAGGTAATTTAAAACAACAATTTTTTTAATCTTGCAATTATAACATATAGGGACTTCTGGGTCCGCAAGGAATACAAGGACCACGTGGTGAACCTGGTTTAATTGGTTCTCCTGGAGAGAAAGGACCACCAGGTGAGATTGGACAGCGAGGATCAAAAGGTGAAGTTGGTCCAGTCGGAGCAACAGGATCAGCCGGGCCTATAGGACCGCAAGGTTTACCGGGTCTGCCAGGTGTAAAAGGTGAAGTTGGAGATCCTGGAGCAATTGGTCCTATGGGGCCACCAGGTACCCCAGGAGAACGGGGTTCAAAAGGACCGAAAGGCCTTAAAGGTGCAGAAGGATCACCGGGCTTAGAAGGTCGTCAAGGTGAAAAAGGAGACAGTGGAACGGCGGGACCTCCTGGAAAACCAGGAGTGGAGGGCAAACAGGTAAGATAAATTGTATGTATTTATAAAATTTGTAAAAATATACTTTGCGTCATTATTTATTTGATTATTTATGCATATAAACTTTCTGAAATATAGTAATTAATTATAATTATATGTTCAAATATTTTATTGCCTCATATTTGGCGCGTTTAAGGGAGAAAGAGGTCTTCCGGGAGCGAAAGGAGAAGAAGGCAAGGAGGGAATTGTCGGATCTCCTGGACCACGAGGATTAATTGGCTTTGATGGACCAAAAGGTGATATCGGATTACCTGGCTTCCCCGGTCCACCAGGAGAACCTGGTCTCATGGGCGCGAAAGGTGAGCCTGGAAAGGACGGCGAGGATGGACAAGTAGGCAATCCCGGCGCACCAGGTGAAGTTGGACCACCCGGCAAGGAAGGATTATCAGGTCTTCCTGGAAAACCAGTATGAGAATTTTAATTTATCGTTTAGACAAAATAAAAAGTTCATTCTTCAAAAATAATAATTAAATATTATTTATATATAATTATTTATTTATAATTACTGCTACTGTTTATATATATAATTATTTATTTATCATTACTGCTGATTATAGGGTCCGGAAGGCCCGGCAGGCCAGCAAGGTAACCCAGGTTTACCAGGAGATAAAGGAGATATAGGTCCGTTCGGAGCACCGGGACCTCAAGGACCTGTTGGAGTCCAAGGATTATCTGGTCTGCCCGGTTTGCCAGGAGAAAGAGGTTTGCCAGGAGCGGCCGGGGAAAACGGTCCTCCAGGAATG